TACCTAACAATAGTTACAATATGATGGCTGGATCAAGTTACCAAAAAACTCCCAGTTAGGAAACAAACTTAATGACGATGATTCGGTCTGTCCTGGATTATTGTCCAGACACTACTGGAGCGGCAAAAGTAGAGAAGACGGAAACCACCAGACAGTTGGGGGGCGAGGGAAGAAGAGAGTGGTAGTAGTAGTAGTAGTAGTAGTAATAATAGTAGTAATAGTAGTAGTAATAGTAGTGGCAGTAGTTTTTTAATATATGGTTCAGATACCTGACAAGTTGATAAATGAGACGTGTGCCACCTTAAGGTATCTTTATTTAAGAATTCAGTAAACGTTTCGCCAGCCAGTGGTCTCTTTAGTCCAATGCAGAGAAAGGTCAGTAACGAGAAGCTTGAGGTAATCAGTCCTAGATCCTGGAGTTGATGTGTTCAGTCCATCAATCTTGATAAAATTGCAGCGATGACGCTTATATGCTGATGACAGATGAAGTTGAGTAGTGGTAGACTAAGTCATTAGTGGGAAAACCCACTAGTGTAAATAGGTCGTGTCTATATGTTAGGCAGCTGTATAGCCCTTGTGGCTTAGCGCTTATTTCTGATTATAATAATAATATATGTTAGGCAAACTTTGAAAAATTCCTCTGCATCACGATCCCAATATGTTGCTGTGCCTGACACAGTATCAAGGACGGACTTGAACATCAAGAAAAGGAAGCAAAGAGTTAGATTCTCATTCCACTCATCTTTGAACTTGATGGATGAATCAAAATTGTTAACAGCGTCAAGAAATGGAAGAAACTTGAATCATGTGGCCAAGAGCAAAGGCATCATCAACTACATAGCGAGGCCTGAGAGAACTGCGCACACCAGCTTCGAAATAATTAATATAAAGATTAGCAAGAGAAGGGGACAGAGAACTCAAAACAACACCAAAATGTTGGGAATAAAGTTAACCTTGAGTTGGAGTCCACACAAAGTCATCCCATCCACATCCCTTACTTTCAATGTCACTCTTCGTCCTCCACTTCCTCACGCTCATCTCGCCCCACTACCAGATGGAAGACGAACAGTTCCTCATTACTCACACCTTCAGACAAACACAAGAACACGAACGGCTTGAGAAACTTTCTAAAGCCACGAAATCCGTCTTCCTCTTCTTCCACACAAAAACGCCAAAGCTCTTACAAACTATCGCCAAACACACCAACACTGGCGGAACAGTCCAGATGGGCTCCAGCCTGGCGCTGGCTCGCTAGATCTTCCATGACACTTCCAGCAACACACAATATTGTGTAAGAAAGGTATAAATATCGACAATATGAAAGTTAAGACACATGTGCAACATCTGGGTATCTTTATTGTAGACGTTTCGCCATCCAGTGACTTTATCAATACAGATTCTAGGACATAATTAGAAGAAAGTAGAACTATGTAGAGAAGATGAGGTAATCAGTCCCTCAGCCTTGGAGTTAGTGTTCACAGCATCGTGGTGGAGGAGAATCTGGAGCAAAGGCAAGAAGACTGGCGGTTATATAGGCGTCAGTGGATAGGGACGTGTAGCAGACGAGGACATAGTCACCGGTAGGCGGGATTCCCCATATTGTCGGTATTTTATACCTTGCACAACTTGTCAGACACTGCAACATCATGGAATCTTGGTTCAGAGGACATCTACAAGACCTTCTTCACGGCTGCTGCAACTAACCCATCCCTTTGGGTAGGACCTACTTCCACTGGGGAATCCCGCCTACCAGTGACTATGTCCTCGTCTGCTACACGTCCTTATCCACTGACGCCTATATAACCGCCAGTCTTCTTGCCTTTGCTCCAGATTCTCCACCACCACGATGCTGTGAACACTAACTCCAAGACTGAGGGACTGATTACCTCATCTCTTGTATATAGTTCTACTGTCTTCCTATTATGTCCTAGAATCTGTATTGATAAAGCCACTGGGTGGCGAAACGTCTACAATAAAGATATCCAGATGTTGCACATGTCTCTAAACACACAATATTGCTCTTAATTAAAGGTCGCATATGCGTAACTAAAACACATACATTATTTTTTATTATTTTTTATTATCACACTGGCCGATTCCCACCAAGGCAGGGTGGCCCGAAAAAGAAAAACTTTCACCATCATTCACTCCATCACTGTCTTGCCAGAAGGGTGCTTTACACTACAGTTTTTAAACTGCAACATTAACACCCCTCCTTCAGAGTGCAGGCACTGTACTTCATATCCTGCTAAAATTCAATAATTCAGAGCGCTCAGATGTGCTGCTACTCAACTAATCAGACACATTGGTCACTACTCGCCAGTCTCTTGCTGATCCCTGTCACGACCTAACTGAATTAGTGATCAGCACTCTAAAACACAGGTTTCTAATTACTCTTTACTCTTACCCTCACAACAAAGACTTCTATCTTCATCCTTCATTACCACATCACACACACACACACACACACACACACACACACACAGGGGGCAGGAACCATACGTAGCTTTAAGATGAGGTATGATAAAGCTCATGGAGCAGGGAGAGAGAGGACCTAGTAGCACTCAGTGAAGAGGCGGGGCCAGGAGCTGAGTCTCGAACCCTGCAACCACAATTAGATGAGTTCAATTACGGGAGTACACACACACACACACACACACACACACACACACACACACACACACACACACACACACACACCCCACAGGGGGCAGGAACCATACGTAGCTTTAAGATGAGGTATGATAAAGCTCATGGAGCAGGGAGAGAGAGGACCTAGTAGCACTCAGTGAAGAGGCGGGGCCAGGAGCTGAGTCTCGAACCCTGCAACCACAATTAGATGAGTTCAATTACGGGAGTATACACACACACACACACATACACACACACACACACACACACACACACACACACACACACACACCACACACACACACACACACACACACACACACACACACACACACGCACATACACACACACACACACACACACACACACACACACACACACACACACACACACACACACACACACACACACCCAGAGCTAAGAGGTATGTCCTACGAGGAGAGGTTAAGGGAAATCAACCTGACGACACTGGAGGACAGGAGAGATAGGGGGGACATGATAACGACATACAAAATACTGAGAGGAATTGACAAGGTGGACAAAGACAGGATGTTCCAGAGATTGGACACAGTAACAAGGGGACACAGTTGGAAGCTGAAGACACAGATGAATCACAGGGATGTTAGGAAGTATTTCTTCAGCCACAGAGTAGTCAGTAAGTGGAATAGTTTGGGAAGCGATGTAGTGGAGGCAGGATCCATACATAGCTTTAAGCAGAGGTATGATAAAGCTCACGGCTCAGGGAGAGTGACCTAGTAGCGATCAGTGAAGAGGCGGGGCCAGGAGCTCGGACTCGACCCCCGCAACCTCAACTAGGTGAGTACAACTAGGTGAGCACCTCCTTAACATCCATGATCCTACGCTTCTCCAACCTGTCGGTCTTCTGGCAGATATCTACGCAATTATTATTATTATTATTATTATTATTATTATTATTATAAACCAACAAAAGTCATACAGCGCTAAACCTGTACTCAAAACACAGTTTTTCACAACAGGTTCACCATTGATCACGGAACACAACTCTACGAATGTTCCAATAGAAACACCTCATACACCCTGGTCACCATTTCAACACCTAATCACAGAGGGCCAGGGCAAACCTGACATCATCATTCCCAATAACGAAGATAAGATTTCGTTCGGATTTTTAACCCCGGAGGGTTAGCCACCCGGGATAACCCAAGAAAGTCAGTGCGTCATCGAGGACTGTCTAACTTATTTCCATTGTGGTCCTTAATCTTGTCCCCCAGGATGCCACCCACACCAGTCCACTAGCACCCAGGTACCTATTTGCTGCTAGGTGAACAGGACAACAGGTGTAAGGAAACGTGTCGAAATGTTTCCACCCGCCGGGAATCGAACCCAGGTCCTCTTCATATTTCCTGGTCCCCTCATTTTCTCTGATCATATATTCATTACATTCCACATCGCATTGAACACCCTCCTCATAGCCGTCAAACCTATTCCCCCAGTCACAGTGATATGTGTAGCAGTTGATTGCGTTTGGGTGGAAGGATGGTAGGATAGGGGTAGCCTAGGAAACGTTGGTGGGAGGAGCCTGGACACCCAACAGGCGTCTTCTCGTGGCTAGATATGTTAAACTTGTAATTCTACCTCGTACACTGAGATACACATACACAGACACACACAAACACACATTAGCAACCAGTGAAGAGGCGGGGGGGGGGGGGCAGGAGCTATGACTCGAGCCCTGCAACCATAACTAGGTGAGTACAAATATAGTTCAGTACACACACACACACACACACACACACACACACACACACACACACACACACACACACACACACACATACACAAACACAAGTACACATGCACACACACATCCAGGAACTGTCACTCGACCCCTGTAACCACAAATAGGTAAGTGCACACTCACAAGAGCTGTGACTCGAACCCTGAATATATATATATATATATATATATATATATATATATAATATATATATATATATATATATATATATATATATATATATATATATATATATATATATATATATATATAGGTGGGTACTGTGAGAATAAAGTTAATTAAATAAGAGTAGAAGACTGAATGACTGGTGGAGGAAGTATGACTGGCAGTATGACTGTTCTGAAAGGGGAATGTGAGCAGTTACCTTTACCACCCCCCGACCCCCCGACCCCCCGAACCCCCGGCCCCCGACCCCCGACCCCCCCGACCCCCCAACCCCCCTACCCCCGACCCCCAACCCCCCCCCCGACCCCCCGACCCCCCGACCCCCTCGACCCCCGACCCCCTCGACCCCCGACCCCGACCCCCCCGACCCCCACTTGATCCACCGGGTGAGAATCAACAAGGGACACTTGTTGGCGGAGTAGTGTCACTTGGTTTTCTTCTCTCGTCATGACTGTAAGTACGGAGATCAGTTATTGATTACTTATTTTACGTTTAGTTTTTCTTAATTTAATAAACAAGAGTTATTTTCTTATGCTTTTTAAGTTATGTCTGGACTTGGATACAGTTACATTTATAAGGTAATATTTAGTTATCACCATTTCTTTTAATTGCTTTCAGCCTATCATGTGAATGACTCCTTGTCCGGTTCGTAATTTCCTTTTTTTTTCTTCTTCTCAGCCTTGCTGGATGGTTCGGGTCACCCAACAGATGCTAGTCGAGACGAGCAACATGATCTGATAATAGATCAGAAACTAAAGAATTTATCATCTTCGGAACTCTACTGTTCCTCCACATTTGGTTAGTGTTTACACGTCTACTACATTACGAGAACTTATGCGCAGGTCCATAATCTCAACAAAGGCCTTGTGAACTCTCTTTTGCTCTAGATCCACGCTCTGCATCATTAGAACTCCGCTGTCATAAATACTGTGTAGTTCAAAAGTCTCATCTGAGAACTGTTTTTGTATACCCCCACCTCTTTAAGGGGGACTCCTTGTCTTCTTCAGACCAAACCTAATTACCCCCAATCCTCCCTTCCTTATCTCATCCTCCCCATCTCCCTTTTTCTCCTTTCTCTCCTCTCCCAACCCTCCCTTTTCCCTATCCCGTTTGTAGCCCTGGGGTCCTCCCCTCTGGCATTAGTTTCAAGGTAGGGGAAGGTGTGCTGGAGTTCATTCCACTCCATGAGGTTTCTCGGGTGTGGTACAGTTTGCCATGGAACCTGGATTGTCTGGAGGCACCGTGCTCCCTTCCTGGATTTCCGAGAAGTGGGTGGGGTGTCCTGCAGATGATGGGTGTGTCTCCAGAGGCTGCCTTTTGGTTCTGGGAGGTGACAGCAGAAGGAGGTATGCTTTGTGGCAGGTATCCGACCGCACTCTCTTTTGTCAGCCGAGGTGGGTCTGTAGATGTGAGGTTGCTATCCCAGAGCGCTGGTTTACTGGCATGATGGGTAGGGTATGGCACAGGTTCCACACTGCATCTGCACTGCTTGCGGTCTCGAGGTCCTTGGATGAGAGGAGGAACTTACGGCCCTTTCCCTCTGCTGTCCCTCTTTTTTTTCTTTCTTTCTTTTTCTCTTTAAAATAATAAAAGAGAAGTACCACCATCATGGAGTCTTTGTTCCATGATAACCCTCCTCCTCCCAGGCCAATTTCTGTTCTTGCATCCTGTTCTGATCCAGCTTCATTATTGGAGCATTCTCTAGACTCTTCCCATACCCCTGCACCATCTGCTGGTGAGACTTTGCCACCTGCTCCTGATGCTGAAGCTCTGCCCATTCCTGTTAGTACCTCTGCATCTTGCATGCCTTTAACTATGCATCCAGCTTCCCCGAATATGGTGCAATGGTTTTTGGATAGTCGTAATACGCCTAAACGTTCCAGACCATTTGCTGATGATGGTTCTTTTCTGCCCATTCCACCCAAAAACCACCTATGTGACGCCCACTTCATTTACTCACCATGTTTACAAGTACGCAGTGGACTAAATTCTTTTCCCTACAACCGACATCTCCAAAAGATATCCTTTCACACTCTTCAAAGCAGTGCGTGCATCATTACAGTTCAGAATGCAGAGCAAGCTCATGATCTTTCCCATCTTACTTCCAGTGATAACATTCCAATCACAGTTGACAAGCACGCTACTCTGAATTCTTGCAGTGGTACGGTGGTTTTACCACATACCATTGTACAGAGTGCTTTTCTGGCTTGCTGTGATGATAATTTGGGAGCAATTATCCCTTCATGGCCTTCCAATTCTCAAAGTAGATACATATGTCATACCCACTTGCAGACGGAGGTGTTTTCCAAGTAACATCATCCGCTTAACCTTTGACTGCCATGAACTCCCATCCTCTGTTTATATCGTTTATATTGTGGGCTATTGCCTAGAGGACCATAAAGTGGTGCCTACTCCCAACAGTGTCAAAATTGTTGGCGCTCCAGACACCCTGCTAAATGCTGCAGATCTGCAAAGGAGTGCCCGATCTGTGGTGCCTTGGATCATAGCAATACGTCTTGCTGTCTTTCCCCCACTTGTCTCAGTTGCAATGAACCTCATCCATTGTCTTTAGGATAATGAAGGCCTTACTTATGCTATGGCTGTCTCTCAGCTCCACCTTCAGGGGAATATTCCTCGTGTCCCTTATTCTCGAATAGCTAGGAGACCTCCAACCTTGACAGTCCCCCCCTCCTACCAGGTCCTCCGGTGTCGTGTCTTCTGGGGTCACCCCCATCTCTAATTCTTTTGCAGTTTTACCCTCTGAAACCCCCACCTTCTTACCACACATGCCTGCATCTTCATCTGCAAAGTTGAACCTGTCTCATAAGCCCAAGTCTCTGCATTCCTCCGGTGCTTAAAATACCCCAACAGTTTTCCTTTCCAGCCTCGGTGCCTAGTTCTCATCCCCCTTTCTAACTCACACGAAGGTGGAGGTTCACCCCCTCTTGTAGTCCCCTCTTCTCCTGTCCCTCCCCCCCATCTTCTTCCCCAGTTACCCTCCAGCCTCCTTCCTCTCCTGTTCCACCGCAGGACTCTTCTGCCCCCGCCAGTGCATCGCTACAGGTTCATACTCCCCTCCCCTCTCAGACCTCTTTGGTTCCCTCAGTAGTTTCCCCAATCTCTATTTGCTCTACCTCATCTGTCTCTGAAATCATGGTATCAACATCTTCCTAATCCATGGAAACACTTGAGGCCATCCCCAACTATATTGCAGAGACGAAACCCTCAATGAGCACTGCCGTGCCTCCTACCCCTTCTTACTTTTCATGACCCTTGCAGCAATCTTTTCCTTCACAGCATTCTGAATCCTCCTTGTTTACACGCTTTCCGTTGCCTCCACACATTGATTTCACTGACCCTAATAGCCATAGATTTTATCAATTCTTATTGTTGGCATACCTGTCTTTGTAAATATTGACTTATTTACAGTGGAATACTTGTGGCCTCAGAGGTAATTGGGAACAGCTCCAGAACAGAGCCCAAAATTCGTTCCGTTGTTATTCATCCTGTTTTGGGCTATATGCTGTTGCATTCTTCTGATCCCTTTCCTGATGAATCATTTAACGAGTGCAATTTTTGTGTGCATTGGTATACCGTATCAACAGGTTCGTTTTCTGCTGCATTATACTGCAGTTCATATTAATTTGCACAGATGGTATACAGTTTGCTCTCTACCTCTCCCCCTCCCGTGCATTCTGTATCTCGGATATTGCATTCTTGATCTCTTCTCTACCACCGCCCATTTTGTTAGGTGATTTTAACCCTCACCATCATCTTTGGGGAGGGTGCCACTGTGACTCTCGTGGTGATCAGTTGGAGACTCTTCTCACTTCTTATCCTCTTCATGTTTTAAATACGAGTGCTCCCACCCATTTTAACTTGTGCACTCAGTCTCTTGCATTGATCGTTCTATCCACTCCTCGTCAATCACATTTCAGTACACTTGGTCTTTTCTCCCAGATTTGCTTGACAGTGATCATTTTCCTATTCTTCTTATTTCTACTACGTATTCCCAACTACTTCGTATCCCTCGTTGGCAATTTGGACGAGCGCATTGGAGCTTATACTCTCATCTTACTGCTTTTGTGGGGACCCTTCTTCATCCTCTATTGATGAGCTGGTGCAACAGTTTTCGACATTAGTTTTGACTGCAGCATCATGTTCTATTCCTTAAACCTCAGGTAGGCAGTCTCCTGCATGTGCCCGTGCAGTGCATTTCAAACGCATTCCATGGCGCCATTACCGATATAATCGGACCTCAGATCTTTTGGGTTTTAAGTGGGCAAGGGCAGTCACTCGTGCGAGTCATACACGATGCTAAATGCACTTGTTGGCAAGACTGTGTCTACCATTACCTCGACTTCCCCTATGTGTGCAGTTTGGAAGAATGTATGGAAGTTGTGTGGGAAGTACACTCCAGATTCAGCTCCCATTTTCCAGGTTGCTGGTGTTAGTGAGATTGGGAGCTATTTTGTTCATGTCTCCCAAGGGCTTCACCTCTGCCCCTCGTTTCTTGCGTCTAAGTCTGCCGAGGAGAAATTGCCGTTGGATTTCTCTTCTAATGGAATGTAGCCGTATAACATACCTTTCACTCTCATGGAGCTAGAGTTCACACTTTCTGTTTGCCAGTCATCGGCAGCTGGGCCTGATGATATATCAGTATGCTGCAACATCTGCATTCTACAGACCTTAGTCCTTTTGCGTCTTTTCAATCTTATTTAGACACAAGGAGTTCTCCCTCATCAGTGGAAATCTGCCATTGTCCTACTGTTTCACAAACCAGGTACCTTGGGGCTTGACACCTCTCACTATCGTCCCATTGCTCTGACCAGTGTAGTCTGTTAAGTGCTGGAACAATTGGTGATAAACATCTAATATGATATTTGGAGACTCACAATAGTCTTTCTCCTCACCAATATGGCTTTCACAAGGGCCACTCTACATTGGACACCTTGCTCCAATTAGATACGTATGTATGAAATATCTTTGCTAACAAACACTCCATCCCAGCAGTCCTTTTTTATCTTGAGAAGGCATATGACACCACTTGGAGGTATAATATTTTAGCTCAATCATACTCTTTAGGCCTCTGCGGTAATCTACCAACCTTCCTTGCTGCTTTCATATCTGACAGACATTTTCGTGTCCGTGTTGGCGTCTCGCTTTCCTCAGTCTTTGTTCAGGCTGAGGGTGTCCCACTAGGTTGTCCTTAGCACTACCATTTTCTCTTGGCTATAAATGACCTACCTTTCGTTCTTCCATCGCAAATTTGGTCGTCACTTTATGTGCATGGCTTCGCTGTAGCTTACGCAGGTGCTGACTGTCTCCGGGTAGCAGCCTTCCTTCAGGATGCGATTGACAGAGTTTCCCATTGGGCCACTTCTCATTACATTCACTAGATGCCCTCTTATCCAAGATATACTATTGTATTTACACAGCTCACGTTTTCTAGAATGTGATACAGCCAAGTTTCTTGGCCTTCTCTTCGATTTCCGGTTGACATGGAAACCTCACATTTCCTCTTTGAAGACAACTTGCCATGGTCGGCTGAATCTCCTTAAAATTCTCGTGCATCGTTCATGGGGAACAGATCGCCGAACTCTCCTCCATTTGGATTCCACCCTAGTCTTGTCCAAGCTGGATTATGGCGACTAAGTTTATTCTGTGGCTTCTCCTACAACTTTAAGTTGGACCCCCGTCATCATCAGGGTCTAGGTTTATGCCTTGGTGCCTTTCATTCATTCCCTGTTGAAAGCCGCTATGCTATGGCGAATGTTCCTTCCTTAGCTGATCGTCGTGATGCTCATTGCCTTCGTTACTTTGTCCATTCTCATGACTTTCGTGTTCCGTATAGGTTGGTCTCAGACGTTAGTAGAAGACCATTATTTGTTCGGCACCCTTGCCTACTCTGACCGTTTTCTCTTCATCTTCACTCCGGTTTTCTCTCCAGTTACCTCTTTGTATGTTCATTTAGCTTCTGCTTTTCCCTTCCCCCTTGAGAGGTTCCGACGGTTCATGTCTGTTTTTTCCCTACTGCCATGCGCCAAAGCTCTCCTGTATACAACTGCTTCTCATTCTCTTTTTCTTGATCACTTCCGGTCGCATGCTTATGCCATTGCTGTTTATACAGATGGTTCTAAATCTTCTGAAAGTGTTGAGTTTCCGGCGGTGTTCCCTGACGATGTTGTCCGAGGTCATTTGTTAGACTCAGTTAGTATGACTCAAGAAATCGTAATGACACGATTGCAAATAAACCATACCCCCGGCCGGGATTGAATCTTATTGTGGCTAGCTGGTCTAGTGGCTAACGCGACGGGCTGGAGTTTTGAGACTCTATGACCGCGGGTTCAATCCCGGCCGGGGGTATGGTTTACTCAGTTAGTATTTTTACTGCCGAGTTGTATGCCATCCTCACAGCGCTTCTCCATATTACATACGTCTCCTTAGACGTTTGTGATCACTTCAGATTAACTCAGTGCTTTATAAGCCATTAAACAATTTGATTCCCCTCATCCATTGGTCCTTCATATTCAAGTATGGTTGTGCTGTGTGGCTAGCCAAAACAAAGACGTTTTTTGTTGGGTCCTGGACACGCTGATGTGCAGGGCAGTGATCAGGTGGATGCTGCTGTACGGTCAGTGGTATGTGATCTTCCGGTTACCTATAGAGGTATTTCGTTCAGAGATTATTTTAGTCATTTCTGCCCGTCTTTTCAGCTGTTGGCAACAAAGGTGGTTAGACATGCACCAAAATAAATTGCACTCTATTAAACCGCTTATAGGTTTGTGGTCATCTTCTTACCTCCGTTGCCATGCTTAGGAGACTATGCTCTCCCGTCTCCACATCGGCCATACTCGTCTTACCCATGGGTATCTCATGGACCGACACCCTATTCCTGTCTGTGAAGTTTGTCAGCTCCAGCGAGCTCGCAGAATTTGCCTCCAACACCGCCGCGCTACCTCTCTTACCTTATCTTGCCTTCTTGCAACTGCTTTACTGTACGAACTTTGACACATAGCCCTTAGCATCCTTTCCAACTCTTTCACCCCTCTCACCTCTGATCCCCACTCCACCTAGCTGTTTATAGCCCTGGTCCTATTTTCTGCCCCGCCGTGCTGCACGACCCTTGTTGGTTTAGCGTTTTTTATTGTAATAATCTATACCACCAGGATAGAGCTACTATCTCGGCAACATTCTACAATTCAGGAATTTGCCTTGTTCTTTATACCTGTGTTGCCGACTTCCAGCTGACTACCACTGGCAGCTAACTCGTAAGCTTCTAGCTGCCCACCTTCACAGGCATTGTAACCATCTGCAGCTGGACTTCACAATATTCACGACCACCTGTGACTTCCTTACTCTTACTGTCTCCAGCGTCCCATCACACACCAGCTAGTCGTGTGCGCCTGGCCATACCAACGGCAGACTCGGAATATTTTTGTTAACGTATTCGGCTCCATCATTTATTTAATCATTTATTTTTCCATCATTCGCTTCAGGTCAATTTTATGTTTGGTTTATATTTAAAGATGTTAGTTTATATTTTCTAAAAAGTTGTTTATCTTCGATAAAATTTATTCTGTTTTCAAAGGGTTCTTACACCTTCACAGAACATACGGGCTCCACACACAGCTTTAAGAGCGGGTACAGCAAGGCACTCGATGCTAGAAGGGAGTGAATCTGGCAAGAATCGGGACCAGGAGCTATGACTAGACCCATACAACCACAAAGTAACTTAACCTATTTGCTCTGTTGTAATACTAGACCTGTAATAGCACATGGACCACGGTTCATGGACCATGGTTCATGGTCCACGGTTCAGATCTCAAGCATGGACCTGTTTATTAACGGATATGCATGCATGTATTTATGAACAGATGCAAAAGTATCCGTGTAAGTATATATGCATCTTGGTAAAGTCAGCAGGTACACATGTATGTACGAATGTACACTTTTGCGAAAGAATGCGTGTGTATATGTGTATGCATGTATGTGTATTCATATGTATGCATGTTTATGTGTGTACACATGTATTTATACGCATGTGTATACACATGAATGCCTATGTGTATGTGTGTGTATGCATGTGCATATGTATAATTCGGTCTAATACTTAATATTTACTGTAGAATATAGACAAATCTATACCTACACAATATATATATATATATATATATATATATAATATATAATATATATATATATATATATATATATATACATATATTTCTTTCAACACACCGGCCGTATCCCACCGAGGCAGGGTGGACCACCGAGGCAGGGTGGACCACCGAGGCAGGGTGGACCACCGAGGCAGGGTGGACCACCGAGGCAGGGTGGACCACCAAGGCAGGGTGGACCACCGAGGCAGGGTGGACCACCGAGGCAGGGTGGACCACCGAGGCAGGGTGGACCACCGAGGCAGGGTGGACCACCGAGGCAGGGTGGACCACCGAGGCAGGGTGGACCACCGAGGCAGGGTGGACCACCGAGGCAGGGTGGACCACCGAGGCAGGGTGGACCACCAAGGCAGGGTGGACCACCGAGGCAGGGTGGACCACCGAGGCAGGGTGGACCACCGAGGCGGGGTGGACCACCAAGGCAGGGTGGACCACCGAGGCAGGGTGGACCACCGAGGCAGGGTGGACCACCGAGGCGGGGTGGCCTAAAAGGAAAAACGAAAGTTTCTCCTTTTACATTTAGTTATATATACAGGAGAAGAAGTTACTAGCCTCTTGCTCCCGGTATTTTAGTCGCCTCTTACAACACGCATGACTTACGGAGGAAGAATTCTGTTCCACTTCCCCATGGAGGATATATATATATATATATATATATATATATATATATATATATATATTATATATATATATATATATATATATATATTCATATTCAGTGATTCAGAAAAAGTATTCAACAAACGTGACTCACGAAATCGTATCACAATTGTAAACAATGACGAGACGGGTGGTGTTCGAACCCATGGCGAGTGAATCGTGAAACTCCAGACCGGTACGTAAGCTTACGCACTGGAGTCGAATTTTATGACTTGCTCCAGTACATAAGCTTACGCACTGGAGTGGAATTTTACGACTCCAGTACATAAGCTTACGCACTGGAGTGGAGTTTGTAGACTCACTCTCCACGAGTTCGAACTCCACCCGTGCCGTGGTTTATTAGCCCCAAACGTCTTCCAAATAGGATACACCATTGTTGAGATTATAAAGGCAATTAGAAGAGTTATTCCTTAGGTTCATAATGCATGGGAATAACATAAGGAATTGAACTATATAATACTGAACATTAGGCCTTTATACATGTTGGCTACATGTTGTTCACTGTAACATTTCGATGAACAATAGATTTTATTTTTATTAACACATCGGCAGTCTCCCACCAAGGCAGGGTGCCCCGAGGAAGAAAAACTTTACCATCATTCACTCCATCACTGTCTTGCCAGAGGTGCTTTACACTGTTTACCTGGAGACCTGGAGAGAGTTCCGGGGGTCAACGTCCCCGCGGCCCGGTCTGTGACCAGGCCTCCTGGTGGATCAGAGCCTGATCACCCAGGCTGTTACTGCTGGCTGCACGCAAACCAATGTACGAGCCACAGCCCGGCTGGTCAGGAACCGACTTTAGGTGCTTGTCCAGTGCCAGCTTGAAGACTGCCAGGGGTCTGTTGGTAATCCCCCTTATGTATGCTGGGAGGCAGTTGAACAGTCTTTGGCCCCTGACACTTACTGTATGGTCTCTTAACGTGCTAGTGACACCCCTGCTTTTCATTGGTGGGATGTTGCATCGTCTGCCAAGTCTTTTGCTTTCGTAGTGAGTGATTTTCGTGTGCAAGTTCGGTACTAGTCCCCCTAGGATTTTCCAGGTGTATATAATCATGTACCTCTCCCGCCTGCATTCCAGGGAATACAGGTTCAGGACCCTCAAGCGCTCCCAGTAATTTAGGTGTTTTATCTCCGTTATGCGCGCCGTGAAAGTTCTCTGTACATTATCTAGGTCAGCAATTTCACCTGCCTTGAAAAGTGCTGTTAATGTGCAACAATATTCCAGCCTAGATAAAGCAAGCGACCTGAAGAGTGTCATCATGGGCTTGGCATCCCTAGTTTTGAAGGTTTTCATTATCCATCCTGTCATTTTTCTAGCAGATGCGATTGATACAATGTTATGGTCCTTGAAGGTGAGATCCTCCGACATGATCATTCCCAGGTCTTTGACGTTGGTGTTTCGCTCTATTTTGTGGCCAGAATTTGTTTTGTACTCTGATGAAGATTTAATTTTCTCGTGTTTACCATATCTGAGTAATTAAAATTTCTCATCGTTGAACTTCATATTGTTTTCTGCAGCCCACTGAAAGATTTGGTTGATGTCCGCCTGGAGCCTTGCAGTGTCTGCAATGGAAGACACTGTCATGCAGATTCGGGTGTCATCTGCAAAGGAAGACACGGTGCTGTGGCTGACATCCTTGTCTATGTCAGATATGAGGATGAAGAACAAGATGGGAGCGAGTACTGTGCCTAGTGGAACAGAGCTTTTCACCGTAGCTGCCTCGGACATTACTCTGTTGACTACTACTCTCTGTGTTCTGTTAGTGAGGAAATTATAGATCCATCGACCGACTTTTCCTGTTATTCCTTTAGCACGCATTTTGTGCGCTATTACGCCATGGTCACACTTGTCGAAGGCTTTTGCAAAGTCTGTATATATTACATCTGCATTCTTTTTGTCGTCTAGTGCATCTAGGACCTTGTCGTAGTGATCCAATAGTTGAGACAGACAGGAGCGACCTGTTCTAAACCCATGTTGCCCTGGGTTGTGTAATTTATGGGTTTCTAGATGGGTGGTGATCTTGCTTCTTAGAACCCTTTCAAAGATTTTTATGATATGGGATGTTAGTGCTATCGGTCTGTAGTTCTTTGCTGTTGCTTTACTTCCCCCTTTGTGGAGTGGGGCTATGTCTGTTGTTTTTAGTAACTGTGGGACGACCCCCGTATCCATGCTCCCTCTCCATAGGATGGTAAAAGCTCGTGATAGGGGCTTCTTGCAGTTCTTGATGAACACGGAGTTCCATGAGTCTGGCCCTGGGGCAGAGTGCATGGGCATGTCATTTATCGCCTGCTCGAAGTCATTTGGCGTCAGGATAACATCAGATAGGCTTGTGTTAACCAAATTCTGTGGCTCTCTCATAAAAAAATCATTTTGATCTTCGACTCTCAGTCTGGTTAGCGGCTTGCTAAAAACTGAGTCATACTGGGACTTGAGTAGCTCACTCATTTCCTTGCTGTCATCTGTGTAGGACCCATCTTGTTTAAGTAGGGGCCCAATACTGGACGTTGTTCTCGACTTTGATTTCGCATAGGAGAAGAAATACTTTGGGTTTCTTTCGATTTCATTTATGGCTTTTAGTTCTTCCCGCGATTCCTGACTCCTATAAGATTCCTTTAGCTTAAGTTCGATGCTTGCTATTTCTCTGACCAGTGTCTCCCTACGCATTTCAGATATATTGACCTCTTTTAGCCGCTCTGTTATTCTTTTCCGTCACCTGTAAAGGGAGCGCCTGTCTCTTTCTATTTTACATCTACTCCTCCTTTTTCTTAGAGGAATAAGCCTTGTGCATACATCGAGTGCCACCGAGTTAATCTGTTCTAGGCATAAGTTGGGGTCTGTGTTGCTTAGTATATCTTCCCAGCTTATATCGGTTAGGACTTGGTTTACTTGGTCCCACTTTATGTTTTTGTTATTGAAGTTGAATTTGGTGAATGCTCCCTCGTGACTAGTCTCATTATGTCGGTCTGGGGCTCCACGCATACATGTCTGAACCTCAATTATGTTGTGATCTGAGTATATTGTTTTTGATATGGTGACATTTCTTATCAGATCATCATTGTTAGTGAAGATGAGGTCTAGTGTATTCTCCGTCTAGTAGGCTCTATTATTTGCTGGTTTAAATTGAATTTTGTGCAGAGATTTAAAAGCTCGTGTGAGTGTGAGTTTTCATCAGAGCTGCCTCCTGGTGTTATTACTGCAACAATATTATTTGCTATATTCCTCCATTTTAGGTGCCTTAAGTTGAAATCCCCCAGGAGCAAGATGTTGGGTGCAGGAGCTGGCAGATTTTCCAGACAGAGATCAATTTTTAACAGCTGTTCCTGGAATTGCTGGGATGTTGCATCCGGAGGCTTGTAGACTACCACAATGACTAGGTTTTGGTTCTCGACCTTTACTGCTAAAACTTCCACTACATGATTTGAGGCATTAAGCAGTTCTGTGCACACAAGTGACTCTGCAATGTACAGGCCAACCCCCCCCCCTTTTTTGTGCCTGTTCACTCTGTCACATCTGTATAGGTTGTAACCTGGGATCCATATTTCGTTGTCCAAGTGATCCTTTATGTGGGTCTCAGTGAAAGCCGCGAACATTGCCTTTGCCTCTGTAGGTATAAAACTGGAACATTAACACCCTTCAGAATGTAAACACTGTACTTCCCACCTCCAGGACTAGAGTCCGGCCTGCTGGTTTCCCGGAATCCCTTCATGTTACTTCGTTCGCACTCTAACAGGACGTCAAGTGTTAAAAAACATTCAACTCCATTCACTCCTATCAAATATGCTCACGCATGCTTACTGGAAGTCCAAGCCCCTCGCGCACAAAACCTCCTTTACCCCAAACCACCTCAACAACCCCTACTCAACCCTTTGGATGATAGTTTTGGTATTTCCGCACCTCCTCCTAATTTCCAAACACCGAATAAAGATACCAGCAATAAAGATACCAGCAATAAAGATACCAACAATAAAGATACCAGCAATAAAGATACCAGCAATAAAGACACCAACAATAAAGATACCAACAATAAAGATAACAGCAATAAAGATACCAACAATAAAGATACCAACAATAAAGATA